TGAGCAGACATCTTTGCCTTATTTATTTTGGGGGGTGGTGGGGTAAGCAGGGTAACAAGGATTGAACTCAGGGGCATTCAACCACTGAGCCACATCCCCAGCCCTATTTTGTATTTTATTTAGAGACAGGGTCTCACTGAGTTGCTTAGCACATTGCTGTTGCTAAGGCTGGCTTTGAACTTGCAATCCTCCTGCCTCAGCCCCTGGAGCTGCTGGGATTGCAGGTGTGTGCCACTGTGCCTGGCTTGCCTTATTTATATCCTAGTGAGAAAGAGTTCAAGTTTTTACCATTAACTGTAATGTTGGCTGTAGGTTTTTTATAGGTGCCTTTTAGTATGTTGAGGAATTTTCCCTCATTTTTATAAGGGGACAGTACGATATTTGTGATTTCAATGAATAATTCCATACTATTTCAAAATCATTAATAATTGGAAAATTTGGAGACTAGTGAAATGTCCAGTGTAAATTACTATACTAATGATGGTGGTTAAACAATGTGTATACACACACAACAGAAAGTTAAGTAACCATTATATATTTAATGTGTATACTCACACAACAGAAAGTTAAGTAACCATTATATATTTTTGAAAAATATATAAGGAGTATTCTTATGACACAATCTTAAAGGAAAACATTACCTGTGTCGTGTCCAGCACGGCCAAATCAGCAGGTTCCCGTGAGAGGCGATGGGAGATTGGAAGAAATAAGACTCACATGTAGATTGTGAAATAAACAGCTGGGATTGGGTGGAGTGCTGCTCTCTGGTGGAGGAGCAGGTCTGAAGAATAACACCAGCAATCTTTATTAGATATGCCTCATTAATCAGATTAAAGTCTATGTAAGCATTATTCTTTTTTTTAGTATTTTTATTTTGTTTGTTTATTTCTTTTTATGTGGTGTTGAAGTTCGAACCCAGGGTCTCACAGGTGCAAGCACTCTACCGCTGAGCCACAAACCCAGCCCAGCATTATTCTTTATATACATGAAAGTTGCAGAGTTAGTAACATTATACAGCTTATTCCTCAGTTACATTCTACAGTTGCAATGTTAGGCATATTGTATAGCTCTCAAGAAAGTCCATTGTTTAAAGTTACTATTATGTGGGCAAGTTCAGGACCAGCGCAGAGCTGGTGAAACATTGTGGTTGTCTTAGCAAGAGAATTCCTTCATTCCTAAGAGCTATGTGCCTGGAGCAAGGTCGAGGCTGGTAAGACTCAGCACAGAGCCTCCCCATAGAAGGTATTACCATAGCAACTGGGCATCCTGCACCTTTGCACAGAAAGTTTCCTAGGCACTAAGTCTGCCACAGTCTTGAAGTCATCAGGGACCCCAATCTCAGACACTGGTCTTCCAATCACTGTCACCGCTCTCCACATGTAAGTCCTAAATATATGGAGAGAACTACCATATTCAGAGATGGAAAATCTTAATTACATGGAGTTTACTTTTTTTCAAATTGTCTTATAGATTAAATGCAATTTTAATTTTAAGAAGTTCTCTGGTGGCTTTTTCCAAAAACAACAACTAACGATGTTTTTAGAATTTCTAGTAAAGAAAAAGGATCTAGAAATGGCTACAGCACTGTTGAAATTAAAAAATAAAGTAAGGGACTTCCCATGTAAATAGACTTTTCATAAAACTATGGTAAGTTGAGAACCCTAAGATAGACTTATGCATACATGGAAACAATATGAGGCTCAGGTGGCATTGCAAATAACATGGGGATGGAGGGACTGCTGAATACATAATTTTGAGACAAGTAGATAGCCATATTTTATTTTCATACTTTTTTTTGGGGGGGAGTGCTAGGATTGAGGCCTTCCAAGGCTAGTAGGCAAGGGCTCTACCACTGAACCATACCCCCAGCGTAGGCAGCCATATTTTTAAAAAGTAAAATTGTATCTGTCCTTCAGACTACGTTAAAACTAAAAAAGATGATAGATTGAAGACAAATATGGGAGGGCAAGCTAAAAATCTAGAAAACATTAAAAATAATATTTACAATTATAAGGCAGAAAGGATTTTTGGTTTTTTTTTTTTTTTGTACCAGGGGTGCTTAACCACTGAGCCACATCTCCAGCCCTTTTTTATATTTTAATTTAGATACAGGGTCTTGCTAAGTTGTTTAGGGCCTCACAAAGTTGCTGAGGCTGGCTTTGAATCTATGATCCTGAGCCACTGGGATCACAGGTGTGTGCCACCATGCCTGGCTTAGGAAGGATTTCTTTTTCTTTTCTTTTTTTTTTTTTTAGTTGTAGATGGGCACAATACCTTTATTTTTATTTTTTAAATACTCTTTTAGTTGTTGATAGACCTTTATTTCATTTATTTATATGCCATGCTGAGTATTGAACCCAATGCCTCACACATGCCAGGCAAGTGTGCTACTGCTGAGCCAAAGCCACAGCCCCATACAATACCTTTATTTATTTTTATGTGGGGTTGAGGATCGAACCCAATGCCTCACATGTGCTAGGCTACTACTGAGCTACAACCCCAGCCCCAAGGATTTCTTGAATAAGAAACAAAAAGTACTAACTAAATGAAAAGTTTGATAAATATGACTGTATTGAAATAATAATTTGCATGTGTCAAATATTACCTGAAGAAGGGGAAAAGCCAATTCACAAGATGGGAAAAAACATATCTTGCTGATAAAGAATTGATCTAGAAAAGAAATTCATGTTCACCTAGCAGAGAAGACATCATGATTATGAAGATGGTCCTCCCAAAGTAAGACTTTTTCACTGCACTACCAGATGTGCTGAGCCCTGTGATTTCCCCAAATGTGGGAAACGTGGCTGCATAATTTGTGATAGTGAAGGACTGCACTTGCACTTTCCCCTGGTTACAAAAAGAAAAAGGAAAGGAAAGGAAAAGAAGAAAGAAAGAAAGAAATCCTACCAACAAACGAGAAAAAGAAAAGGAATCTCTAATTGAAAAATGAGGAAAGATACAAGCATTTCACAGAGGTAGAAACATGGCTTAAATGTGTTAAGCCTTAATGTAATCAGAAAAGACAAATTTAGAGTACATTGAAATTCAATTTTATGCTTCTAGATTTGCAATAATTTTTTTTGTTTTCTTCCCAACCATCTCAAAAACATATATCATAAATTTTAGCACACTGAATTTACTGAAATTCTCCTTAAGGCTGGTTTCCGTTGTATAGTGTTTTTATATTGTATAGTATTTGTTTTCCAGAATGGTCTTCCTTCTCTTAGTGCAGTGATATTCTCAGACCAGCATCATCAGCATCACCTGTGGCCTTGTTGGAATTGCATATATTTAGGCCCTATTCCTGGGTATTTGTATGACAAGTAGCTTTGTAAGATATAGTATTTCCCTTCAGAGTAGAAAGCAGAATTGCTTATAAAAGACTGGTTTCCTATACTCTGGTTCCTTTCCAATATTATAATTCATTACCCTATGGGACCTGGTGCAAGAAAACAATGATACTCTAGATGTAACTGCTATTGTTGTGAGTTAAAAAAAAATTGCCTTTGGGGGCTGGGGCTGGAGCTCAGGGGTAGAGCACTCGCCTAGCATGTGCAAGGTGCTGGGTTCGATCTTCAGCACCACATATAAATAAATAAAATAAAGGTATAAAAAAAATCACATCAGTCTTAAGAAAATTGCCTTTGTCTCTTGAGTTTTGGATCTAGTTATCTATGAAACAGTGGAAGGTTAGCTTTCTTAAAAATATGTTTTTAAATATTTTTATTCTTTTTAGTTACACCTGACAGTAGAATATATTTTGACATATCATACATACATGGAGTATAACTTCCCATTTTTGTGGTTGTACATCATGTGGAGTGCAGCTCTCCACCCGCGAGGGCAGCTGAACTTAAGGTTGCTGGTGTGAATTTCTAGGGACACCAAATAAAACATAGACACACACTTTACCTTTAAACAAGCTTCAGGATGGTTCCTCCGCTCTCAGCCTCAAGCTCCCCAAATGGAAGAGCGAGGGAAGAGTGAGCATGTTTAGAAATGGGCTTTTATTGGGAGGACCCTTATTCTTAGAAAGTTCCATCTAAAAAGTTAAGGGGCGGAATTACAAGCATTTGAGTATAGTTTGACCCAAGGGCTGTAGGGCAACATCTGAAATCATGTCCTCCAACTTTCTGGACCAGGGCAATGTCCAAGTCACTATGAGATATGATATAGTGACGGTCAAAGCCTCTCCGCTCCATGATGCGAATCATTCAGAGTGGCTCCCCACAGTGGAATTACACTGGTTGTGTATTTATATATGGACATAAGATACTTATGTATGATTCATTCTACTGTCTTTCCCATTCCCTTCCCCTCACTCCCCCCACCCTGTCCCCTTCCAATCTGGTGAACTTCCACTCCCCACCCTCATTGTGTTTTAGCATCCACATATCTGAGAGAACATTTGGCCTTTGTTTTTTGGGGGATTGGCTTATTTTACTTGGCATGATAGTTTCCATTTCCATCCATTTACCAGCAAATCTGGCAGGTTAACTTTTTAGCTTGCAGGTAGAATAAAACCTTAAGACTTTTCACAGTTCTTGGCATAAGTCCTCTTTCTTTAAGGTAATGCTCTGAATTGAGAGCCATTTCTTCTAATTGTTAAAGCATAGTGTTGAATAAACTAAAGGTATATAAAAGACAGATACATTTATGCTTTAAAATGTTCACATTACTCTTTTTTTGAGAGAGAGAGAGAGAGAATTTTTTAATATTTATTTTTTAGTTTTCGGTGGACACACATCTCTATTTTATTTTTATGTGGTGCTGAGGATCAAATCCAGTGCCCTGCGCATGCCAGGTGAGCGCACTACCGCTTGAGCCACATCCCCAGCCCCCAAAAATGTTCACATTACTCTTAAGTTTGTTTCTTTCTTTCATTGGTTTGCTCATAAAACAGACATTTATATATGGTTTTTTTTTGTTGTTGTTGTTGTTGTTCTTGATTTTCTTAGATTGTGGTACCATTGGAAGCTGGGCTGATCTAAGGACGTATGATGGCTGAAAGTGGTGGGAAAGAAGAAATAAAATGGACGACTACAGTTATTATTAGCTCATCTCTTAAGGTAAAGGGGCTCACTGATCCATTAATCTTAAATTTAATAATTGAAACTAATTTTCACATAAAACCATATTTTAAAAGATCCTTTGTTTAAGTGTCCACAATTAGTTGTGGAGAGTACAAAGTACATAATAAACTAAATGTATTTTAAATCTAAAGTATAAACTTCTTGCATCCATGTTCAACATCCTAAGTCTTTTAAGGCTGGAAATTTTCTCATGTTTTTTTCTCTCTAAGCTTGCTGTAATAGACATGTTAATATATCTAGAAACAGTAAGGCATGTACATACATATATATACACCTAGATACTTACATCTGTATACGTGTGTATGTATATATACATATACATGTTTGTATGTGTATATGTGTGTGTTTATATATATGTATATGTATATATATATATATGTAAGGATTTTTGAGAGAGAAATAACCAGAAATTGATCTTTATAGTCTTAGCAGCATTGGAAGGCTGCTGTCTCTGTAGTTTGTAGAGGAAGAGGATGGGAAGTTGAATACCTGGGGGGAGTCAGTCAGTTCACAGTCTTTTATACTCCCATCAATAATGTATGAGAATTCTAGTTGCTCCAAACTGAAAGATATTTTTTACTGGTTTTATAGCTATTTTCTTTCAGCATATTGAAGATCTTATTTTATTGATGCTAGCTTCCATTGTTAATAAGAGAACAGTCAGTTTAATGGTCACTCCTTTGAAAATTCCTGTCTTTCCTCTATGGCTGCTTTTTACATTTTAGAATTCTATAGATTTAATGTGAAGATTAAAAAAATCTTTTAAGGCTTCATGAATCTGTGAAATTATGTCACTTATCAGGTTCTCATTCGTCATCTTTAATAATGCTTCTGTCCTGTGCTTTCCCTCCTTCTACTCTGAATTTCTATTAGATCTGTGTTAGATCTTCTCATAATATCCTCCATGTATTTTGACCTCTCATATTTTCTGTTTTGGGGATATTATCATTAGTTCTATCTTCCATGGCAATAATTCTCTTTTTACTCCTCTTAAACTCAAACCTCCATTCAGGGATTTTGTTGTTGTTTATTTTGTTTTTCTTTTTTCGAATTGTAAAATATACATAGAGAAAATTCATAAAATATATAGAATCATTAAACACATTTATTATAAATATAATACCCATATAAGCTAATCAGGCCATGAAATAGAACATTACCAATTTCCTTTTCCTGTTAGGACTTTAATTAATTATATCAATGATCAAATACTAATTACATTAAATATTTATAACTTTTAATTACATAAAATGTTTATGACATAATTTTTCTATAACCATAATTTCCATATTTATTTAAATTTTAGTCACACAGTTAAATGGATTCAATACTAATATCTAGTCTTCATGCAAGAGACAGATCTAACACCTAACTTTATTAATGATGATTCATATACAAGCATCATGCTCAGAAAAAACATTCTTTCCTGGAGGAGTCAAAAGTTATCAAGCACAACTTTTAAAAATGTCTTCAAAAGCAGTGGAAGTCTGTGTTTTTGTTTGTTTGTTAAATATTTATTTTTTTAGTTGTAGTTGGACACAATACCTTTATTTTATTTATTTATTTTTATGTGGTGCTGAGGATCGAACCCAGGGCCTCACATGTGCTAGGTGAGTGCGCTACAGGTGAGTCACAACCCCAGCCCTGTTCTTTTTTTAATGCTTTTGTTAGTGCATTATAGTAATATATAATAGTGGGGTTCATTTTGACATAATCATACATACATGGAATTTAATCTACTTCATTTCAGTCTTTTGTGCTTCCTCTTTCCCTTCTATTCTCCTTTCTACTGTTCCCCTTCCACTACTCTAGTGGTCTTCCTTCTATTTATTTATCATTTTTTTAAACTGGTCCTTTATAGATCTATATAAAGGTGGAATTCACTGTGGCATATCCATATCTGTACTCAGCATAAGTTTGTCAAATTCATCTCACATTTCTTCCCTTTTCCAGTTGCTCATCCCTCCACCTCAGTTTCCTTCTACTCCACTGATATTCCCTTTATCTTTGTGAGATCTACTGTCCCCTTTTTCTCCCTTACTTTGTTCTAGCTTCTGCATATGAGAGAAGATATTCAACCCTTGACTTTCTGTGTGTGGCTTATTTCACTTAGCATGATGTTCTCCAGTTTCATTCATTTACTGGCAAATGCCATAATTTCATTCATGTTTATGGCTGGGTAAAACTCCAATTTGCATATATACCACATTTTCTTTAACCATTCATCTGCTGACAGGCATCTGGACTGGTCTCATAGCATGGCTACTGTGAATTGTGCTGCTATGAATATTTATGTGGCTGCATCACTAGAGTATTCTGATTTTAGTTCTTTTGGATAAATACTGAGGAGTAGGATAACTGGGTCATATGGTGGTTCTATTCTAAGTCTTTTGAGGAATATGGATACTGCTTTCCAAAGTGGTTGTACTAATTTGCAGTCCCACCAACACTCACACCTAGCCAACATTTATTGTTATTTGTGTTCTTGATGATTGCCCTTCTAACTGGAGTCAGTTGGATCTCAATGTAGTTTTGATTTACATTGCCCTTATTGTCAGGAATGTTGAACATTTTTTCATATATTGACTATTTTTATTTCTTCTTTTGAAGTACCTAGTTATTTTGCCTATTTATTGGGTTACTTGTTTTGGTGTCAAGTTTTTTTTTTTTTTTGTGTGTGTGTGTGTGTTCTTATATATTCTGGATATTAATCCCCTGCCAGAGGACGAACTTGCAAAGATTTTCTCCCATTCTGTAGGCTTTCTTCATGCTCTTAATTTTTTTTAACTGTGATGAAACTTTTAAATTTGATGACATCCCATTTATTGATTCTTAATTTTTATTTCTTAATCTTATATGTTGGAGAAGCCTTTGTTTTCTTCTAGCAGTTAAAAAATTTCTAGTCTAATTCCTAGGTCTTTGATCCACTTTAATTTGACTTTTGTACAGAGTGAGGGATAGGGATTTAGTTTCATTCTTCTACATATGGATATCCATTTTTCCCAACACCATTTGTTAAAAAGGCTATCTTTTCTCCAACATATATTTTTGGCACCTTTGTCAAGTATCAGATGACTGTAACTCTTTGGGTTTATGTCTGTGTCTTCTATTATGTCTTGTATTCTATTCTGTTGGTCTTTATATCTATTTTGATACCAGTACCATGTTATTTATTGTACTATAGCTCTTTATTATAATTTGAGGTTAGGTATTGTGGTCTTCATGCTCAATATTGCATTGCCTATCCTGGGTCTTTTATTCTTCTAAATGAATTTCAGGGGCTGGGGATGTGGCTCAAGCAGTAGAGCGCTCGCCTGCCATGCGTACGGCCCGGGTTCGATCCTCAGCACCACATACCAACAATGATGTTGTGTCCGCCGAGAACTAAAAAATAAATATTAAAAATTCTCTCTCTCTCTCTCTTTCCTCTCTCACTCTCTCTTTAAAAAAATAAATAAAATAAAAAATAAATGAATTTCAGGACTTTTTTTCTAGTTCTGTGAAGATTGTCATTAGTATTTTGATGGAGATTGCATTGAATCTAGATAACACTAATGGTAATGTGGCCATTTTGACAATGTTAATTCTGCCTGTCCAGGAACATAGGAGGTCTTTCCATCCTCTAAGGTCTTCAGTTTCTTTTTTTCAGTGTTCTGTAGTTTTCATTGTATAGGACTTTCACCTTCTTTGGTTAGATTTACTTCCAAGGTTTTTTTTTTTGTTGTTTTTTTTTTTAAGGTTATTATGAATGTGATAGTTTTCCTGAATTCTTTCTCAGCAGATTTATTATTGGAATATGAGAAAGTGATCAATTTATGTATGTTGATCTTGTGCCTCCTACTTCACTAAATTTGTTTATAACCTTTAGAAGTCTCCTGGTGGAGTCTTTGTGTCTTCTAGATGTAGAATCATGTCATTAGCAAATGGAGATAATTTGGCTTTTTCTTTTCCCATTTGTATCCCTTTAATTTCCTTCTCTTGCCTGATTGCTCTGGCTAGAGTTTTGAGAACTACATTCAATAGGAGTGGTGAGAATGGACATCCTTGTCTTGTTTTTGATTTTAGAAGAAAAGTTTTCAGTTTTTCTCCATTCAATATGATTTGGCCTTGGATTTGTCACAATGTTGAGGTAAGTTCCTTCTATCCCTGTTTCTCTAGTGTTTTAAATATGAATGGGTTCTGGACTTTATCAAATGCTTTTTATGCATCTATTGAGATAATTATGTGATTCTTATCCTTAACTGTACTTATGTGGTATGTTATATTTATTGATTTGTGTATATTGAACAAACTTTGCATTCCTGGAATGAACTCATTTGATGTACTGTCTTCTTCATGTGTTTCTGAATGTGGCTTGCCATTTTTTTTAAGGATTTTTGTATCTGTGTCATTAGGGATAAAGTTTTCTTTTCTTGATGTGTCTTTATCTGGTTTTTATATCAGGGTAATACTGGCCTTATGAATTAATTTGGCAGTGTTCCCTCCTTTTCTAGTTTATGGAATAATTTGAAGGAGATGGCATTAATTTTGCTTTAAAGGTTTGGTGGAACTTGACTGAAAACCCTTTTGGTCCTGGATTTTTCATTGTTGGAAAGATTTGTTTTTTGTACCAGGGATTGAACCCAAGGGGTGCTTACCAGTGAGCTTTATCCCCAGCCTTTTATTTTTTTATTTTGTGACAGTGTCACTATTTTAGTTAGCTTTTTTTTTTTTTTTTTTTGCTACTGTGACTAAAAGACCCAACCAGAATACTTGTAGAGAAGGAAAAGTTTATTTTGGGCTTATGGTTTCAGAGGTCTCAGTGCACAGATAGCCAGCTCCATTCCTTGGGCTTGAGGTGAGGCCAGACATCATATTGGAAGCGTGTGGCCCAGGAATCAACTCACATGGTGATTAGGAAGCAGAGAGAGACTCCACTTGCCAGATACAAAATATATACCGCAAAGTCATGCCCCCAATGCCCGCCTCTTCTAGCC